CAGTTTGGGATTACTACTTGGGCACTGCAGGGATGAACTTGGTCTGCTAAGATTCATGTGCTGGTTGTTATAACCTCCCCCACTCTCCATCACAGTCAGATTCCCAGTGGTTGAGTCCTGAAGATTCCCATGCACTCCCCATGGTGAGAGATCAGAGTAGGGGCTCCTATAAAGAAACTCACAATGCTGACAGGTGGAGTGGTTGTCCCCTTTGGGTTCTCTTTTCCCACTGGAGGAACAAGATGCTCAGCAGAGACCACTCTGTATGGTACTGCGCTGGCCTAGAAGAGAAGCAATGTAGTCAACATGTAGCTATTTCTCTTACTCCCTAATGCAATCTGCTACAATCTGTCATGGTCTCTGTAGTGCAGGAGGTGCTTCAGCCTTACTCTCATGTTCTAGGATTCTCTTAGTGGTGTCTTGTTCTTCAACAGTGGCTAGTTGTTCTTGTGAGGGGTGCAAAGTCAAGAACAACCTATGTCACCATCTTGGTAACATCACTCTGACCAAAATCCAAACTTTTTTTTAAATCTTTATTTATTATTTTTTAATTCCAGTATAATTAATATACAGTGCTATATTAGTTTCAAGTATACAGTACAGTGATTCAATAATTCTATGCATTGCTCACTGTTCATCACAGTAAGTGTTCTCTTAATCCCCTACAACAATTTCACCCATTCGCCCATCCCCCCTGGCAAACACCAGTTTGTTTTCTATATTTAAGAGTCTGTGTTGTTTGTCTCTTTTTTTTCTTTGTTCATTTCTTTTGTTTCTTAAATTCTATATTTGATCTATACCATATATAGATCTATCCATGTTGTTGCAAATGGCAAGACTCATTCTGTTCTATGGATGAGTAATATTCCATCACATATATATTTCACCAGACAGTCTTTATCCATTCATCTATGCATAGACACTTGGGTTGCTTCCATAGCTATCTGGCTATTGTGAATAATGCTGCAATAAACACAGGGGTGCATATATCTTTTCAAATTAATGTTTTTATTTTCTTTGGGTAAATAATAGTGGAATTTACTGGAGCATGTGGTAATTCTATTTTTATTTTTTTGAGGAACCTCCTTACTGTTTTCACAGTGGATACACCAGTTTGCATTCCCACCAACAGTACATGAGGGTTCCTTTTTCTCCATGTCTTTGCCAAACACTTGTTCTTTCTTGTTGATTCTAGCCATTATGAGAGATACAAGGTGATATCTCACTGTGGTTTTGATTTGCATTTCCCTGGTGATTGGTGATGTTGAGTATCTCTCCATGTGTCTGTTGGCCATCTGTATGTCTTCTTTGGAAAAATGTCCTGCTCATAGCTTCTGTCCATTTTTTAATTGTATTTCTTTTTTTTTTTTTTGGTGTTGTTTGTGTAAGTTCTTTACATATTTTGGATATTAACCCCTTAACATATGTATCATTTGCAAATATCTTTTCTCATTCAGTGGGCTGTCTTCTTGTTTTGTTGATGGTTTCCTTAACTGTGAAAAAGCTTTTTATTTTGATGTAATCCCAATAGCAAAACCCAAACTTTTAAAATAAGCAATTAGAGTTGGGCACCTGAGTGGCTCAGTCGGTTAAGCGTCCGACTTCAGCTCAGGTCACCATCTCACAGTCTGTGAGTTTGAGCCCCGCGTCAGGCTCTGTGCTGACAGCTCAGAGCCTGGAGCCATCTTCAGATTCTGTGTCTCCCTCTCTCTCTCTGCCCCTCCCCTGCTCATGCTCTGTCTCTGTCTGAAAAATAAATAAAAACATTAAAAAAATTTTTTAAAAAAGCAATTAGAGTATTACAATTTATTTGAAAAAAAAGAGACCAAGAGTGTATCTTTGAATATTCGGCCCCTCTAAAAAATTTTAAATAACTTTATATATTAAGAAAGAACAGATTACCAGGGTAATCAGATTACTAGAATAATCATATTACTTAAGAAAGAACAGATTACTACAGTAACAAATGATAATAAGAAGTAAAAACTTGGCAAAATTACTAGCTAGAAATCAAACCGCCCATATTATTTCTTAGTTTACACCAGTGATTCTTAATGTTTTATGGGATTCAGATTTACTAAGGAATCTGATACACACTATGAACCAACCTCTACCCTCAGGAAAATACACACACTCATACAAACTTTTACAAGGATTTTACATAGAATAGTAACACTGAGTTGTGAACAATATTAAAACAAATAAACCAATTAGATCTAGAAGTCTATCACTAATTGGATGAAGTCTGCAACTTAAAATGTGATGCCTTATGGGAACAATTTAATAAAATGGCACTTAGAAACCCAAGATAGGCCACTATATCAGTAAGTTATATGAGGAAAATACGTATTTTTTTTTTAAATAATAGAAAACAATCCCTTCTAAGTGGAATCAATTGATAACTACCTGTTGGGTATCTACTGCATATGCAACTGGGGTCGGCATATCAGGTATACAAAAAAAATAAGACTTGGTCATTACTCTTTAGATAGGGATTGCTGACTATCCCCCAATATCTTTTCTTTCTTTCTACCTAAGTGAAGTATCCTCCATTTCTGCCTGGTCTTAAGGCACTCATAATAAAGACTATGTTTCCCAACCTCCCTTGAAGCCAAGTTTCAAGGTTTGGCTAGTTGGGTATAAGCAAGTGAACTAAATTACTTTTGAGAAATGTCCTTAAAGGGAAGGAGCTTTCCCCTTCCTTTTCCTACTTCCTTTCTGTTGCTGCAATGTGGACACCACAAATAGCTTTTGCCTTCATCTTGGACTACACAATAACCATAAAAATAGAAGACTCACTTGGCAGAGAAGCACAATAGAAGGATCCTAGGCATCTAAAATCATGGAAAATCATGCCAGACCCACATTCAATTTACACATGAGAGAGAAATAAACTTTTTGTTTGTTTGTTTAAGCAACTATTATTTTGGGTTTTTGATCACTTGCATTCAAACCCAATCTTCCCTCAAAAAGCTTATAATACTATTGAGTATGAAAATTAACCTATGTAGGGCGCCTGGGTGGCTCAGTCGGTTGGGCGACCGACTTCGGCTCAGGTCACGATCTCACGGTCTGTGAGTTCGAGCCCCAGGTCGGGCTCTGGGCTGACGGCCTGGAGCCTGCTTCGGATTCTGTGTCTCCCTCTCTCTCTCCCCTCCCCCATTCATGCTCTGTCTCTCTCTGTCTCAAAAATAAATAAACGTAAAAAAAAAAAATTAAAAAAAAAAAGAGAAAATTAACCTATGTGAAACTATGAACAGAACTGCACAGGTCAGTGTCCAATTAAAAACCAGTTGAGTTCTAGTTGGATAAAGTTTTTAAGCTTGAAATGGGATGATTTTCCCATAAGACTAATTTAATAAAATGATGTTTAAGAGTCTCAACATAATCCACAAAAAGCACTAGCACAATGTGGTTAAAAAACTGCTTAAAGGGGCGCCTGGGTGGCGCAGTCGGTTAAGCGTCCGACTTCAGCCAGGTCACGATCTCGCGGTCCGTGGGTTCGAGCCCAGCGTCAGGCTCTGGGCTGATGGCTCAGAGCCTGGAGCCTGCTTCCGATTCTGTGTCTCCCTCTCTCTCTGCCCCTCCCCCGTTCATGCTCTGTCTCTTTGTCCCAAAATTAAAAAAAAAAAAGTTGAAAAAAAAAATTAAAAAAAAAAAACTGCTTAAAAATTTTAAAACAATAAAATAAGTAAATAAATAATATATTTGAGCTTACAGAATCTATAGAAGAGTGTTTAAAGAGGAACAATACAGGACTTCCCAGTAAACTACAATATTAAACTTGGGAGAAAAATAGTGAAATAAGAACTATAAAATTCATCATTAATGCTGGTGCATTTGGAATCACATAACAAGCTTTTAAAAATACTGACTCATGGATCCCACCCCAGACTAGATCAGAACCTCAGGGATAGGGGTAGAGGGCCTAGTATCAATAGTTTACAAAGCTCCTAATAATTCTAATGGACAGTGATAGCTCAGAATCACTGCTAGGGAAAATTAAAAGGGCTGGGACATATCTAAGTGGTATAGCTAGGTGCCTTCAAGGGCTTCAGCAAGTGATTCTACTAGTTTCTTAACATTTTGCCTGGGGTTTCATTGAAAAATAACTTGCTTTTAGGTATTTTGTTATTTTGGAATTGTTTGTTTGTTTGACCCAGCTATTATCACATTTCACCTCTTACTCAAAATTAAGTTCATTTTGAGTTTATAAATGGACTAAACACTCTCTATTTTCAATCTGAATATAACAAAATTTCTACAATGGCTAAACCTAAATCTCCCTTTTAATCAATCTGTTTCTTAACCTAGTTCTAGTTCCTGTGTCTTGCAGGGTTTCTAGCTCTGACACTTTCCATGTTTCTCTCTCTACTGACTTCATATTCTCCTGCCTTCAAAATCCAGGAGAGGTAAGATACTTCCCCTCACCCCTCCATTGTCCAGGCTCATGGGAAAGGTAAATCCCTGAGGCTGGGGTAGCCATGAACAGACCAAAGGCAAAGACTGAGACCAGAGATCAGAACAGCATCATCAACCAGCATTCGTGAGAACACAGTGTAGGTCTCTAGACATACAGGAAGAAAGAAAATCCCTTTATATAATATATACTGCTAAGAAAGATACTGCTAAAAAATATTTTTGAGTCAATTAGACAAATTCAAATATTGACTGGGTGTCAAATGTTAAAAGGAATTATCATTAATTTTGTTACATTGATGGCATTGTAATTATAAGAAAAAATCCTTATCACTTGGACATACTTAATGAACTATTTACATATGTAATTACATGATGTCTGGGGATATGCTTCAAAATACTCTGGCCAAAATTAAATAGGAGCAAGAAAGATGGGTGAAAAAAAAATGACAAATGTTGATCATTGTTGAAGTTGGGTAATGGAGCCCATTATACTATTTTCACTATCTTTTATGTTTGAAATGTTTGAAATTTCCCTTAATAAGAAAATTAGCTTTCAAATATGGTTCCAATTGTAGCATTCATGGGGAAAATAATAAAAAAGAGACTATGTAGAAAATGTTAGAAATGGCTCTCTAGGTCATTTAGCACAGAGAATGTGTCAATCAGGAAATTAAAGGAGACAGAGATAAGTGGTATGGAATGGTGAGAGATTTCATCAAGGAGGTGAAACTGGAACCAGAACTTAAGAAATACAATTTAACACAATTGAAAACAAGATAGGTAGCATATTGATTAGGAGAGAGATTTTCTTTAATAAAGATAGGAATGATACCAACCCCCAGATCAAGATATAGAAGAC